GGTGGGGGGCTGCGCGGTGGGTAGTTGCGCCGCGAGTCGCTGCGCCGCCGGGGAGGGCTGCGCTGCAAGTAGCCGCTGCGTCGTGAATAGCTCCGCCCTGAGCAACTTGAAAGCACTCGACGAAAATATGAATCGAATAGTAGTGGGATACAAAACGAACCAACTTAATTTAATACGATCTGGGGGGTTCTGAAAATGGGATGGGTAGACTCACTTTCTGGGGGCAAATATTCGTTGAACCCACATAAGCATCAAACGATAGGGCATGCGAGCTGTACAAGAACGGCTGCATCTGCCAGAGGCAACTTGCGGGAAAATGTTGATTTCAAGAAGAAGAAGAAGAAGAAGGAGAAGGAGAAGGAGGAGAAGGAGAAGGAGAAGAAGAAGAAGAAGAAGAGAGAGAGAAAAAACAGATTAATTACACCATCTGAGTGATTTCATGGACATGAGCAGGTAAGAAAATAACAGTTTAGATCTCCTATCTTTCAAGGGACCATCAGCGCGCAACCTTCAAATGCACCAGTTGAAACCATCCGTTGAAATCTCAAGGGCTTGAATCCCAACGCAAGATAACGCAAGCAGTTTGGGACCTCCCTGCACTGGGATGCGAGCGAGGGGGTGGGGGAAGAGGGCTTCGGCTGTCGCGCCTTAGTTGGACTGTGGAACACAAACTGCCGAGTGGATGTCTTGTTTCTCACCAGGCAACTTTGAAAATGGCAGGTTGCCCATTGACTCACATATCTCACATTGACTTTTGAGTTTTTTAACTCCAATGTTCAGCAAGTTTTGAGGTTGAGTTCCTGACTTTTGCCTCATTCTTCAGACTCTTTTTCCCGCACTCAGTTCCTCCATAGCTTTGGGAGGACACAGGACGCCTAAGACTTGGATAAAATCTGTGGCGGCGAAACCTGGGTGTGGGGATGGTCCCCAATGGCTGTCGGTGATCGGGATGTAGAGTGAAATCGACTTCCTGAATTTTCCTATCACTGAATCACTTGGTTTGGGATATTCTGACTGTATGTTGTTTAATCTCATTTTGTCTTGAAGTTCTCCAAATGGTTTCTTGGAGGAGGGCTGTTCCTCAAACCGCTGCGGTACTCTGCAAAAGCTCTGCCGGCTCGGGGGTTGGCTCATTCTCAGCTTCAAACAGCTGCGGCAAGTGATGCTGCGAGCAATGTGGAATGGATTCAACATAATTCAACGTCCTGCACTCCACACCCGATTCCCTGCTCAATGGACAGCACTGTGGGCATTGACAAAAAAATTGCCGATCTCCGTCACGCTGTGATGAACAGGCTCAAACATTCTTCACTTTCAATGTCAGAGGGCCTAGTGGTTCATCTGTGAGTCGTCAGTTGATACAAGGAATCCCAAGCTATCCAAAAGCAAGCCATCCCAGCAGGCTCAGCACCATCCAAAAGAAGTATCGTATCACTGGAGGACCCAAAATGATGCGAAGATCTCTCAGTTTCCATCCGCCCAGCTCACCTGTGAGTCAAAACCCTGGTGCCCTGAAAACTTCACCCTAAAAACGCTGGTGTTGACCAATCCCCAAATATCTCATAGATTTGTTCACACACAATATCTATATATATATTAACCATCCCAAATTTATAAACAAAATGCATCCTCCCCACCCCCGGATGTCGGGGGTCACTGCAAGGACCGCATCCACACTGATCTTGGCCAGCTGATCTTTGCGGCTGCTCACCACCTGTCCCCAATGGACTCCCCATGGCCCCCCATGGAATTCCATGGAATCCTCAGGAAAAAACAGCTGGTGGCAAAATCATCAAACAACTTGACGTGTTGGTGTTTTGTTAACAGCTGCAAGTATCTATCTATCTGTCTGTCTGTCTGTCTGTCTGTCTATCTATCTATCTATCTATCTATCTATCTATATATGTGATATATACAAATATGTATATTCTAAATATGATCTATATACACATTTTTATGGATACATTGCTGTATTTATTTTCCATACTTACTTTCGACAGGAACCATCGAAAAGATTCGAAAAAATGATGGATGTTCCCACTTTCAGATTAGTTCACCAGAGGATAGAATCCGTCGGATAGATAATATCGACAACTACAGTGCCTGGCTGCTAGGCAGCAGGATATTTTTCGGAACTCAGTATCTGAGTTTTGAAGAAGGTCCAGTTTAACACACACCCTGCATAAGATATGGCATGGGCATGGTTGGGCCCGGCCCATTTTTGGTGAACGATCATCTAGTTTTTGGAGTGGTAATATAATCATTCTGAAGTAGCTAGAATATGTGGATGAAAGTGAAACTGCTAATTTATGTGCATTAATTTTAGTGACCTGGTGAGGATGTTTGATGTTTCCATATTGAAAAAACTGCTCCGCAATGATTATTCATATATATATATATAGACATACACGTATATAAATACATATATTATACGTGTATGTGTGAATATATATATATATATATATTATTATATATATATTATTATATATATATATTATAA